TGGGAGGGGCGTGGGGTCTGGTGGTCAGAGCAGGGGGGCTGGCAGCCAGGGCTCTGGGAGGGGTGTGGGGTCTGGTGGTCAGAGCAGGGGGGCTGGCAGCCAGGGCTCTGGGAGGGGTGTGGGGTCTGATGGTCAGAGCAGGGGGGCTGGCAGCCTGGACTCTGGGAGGGGCGTGGGGTCTGGTGGTCAGAGCAGGGGGGCTGGCAGCCAGGGCTCTGGGAGGGGAGTGGAGTTGGGTCTGGTGGTCAGAGCAGGGGGGCTGGCAGCCAGGGCTCTGGGAGGGGCGTGGGGTCTGGTGGTCAGAGCAGGGGGGCTGGCAGCCGGGGCTCTGGGAGGGGCGTGGGGTCTGGTGGTCAGAGCAGGGGGACTGGCAGCTGGGACTCCTGGGGGTTATCCCCAGGTCTCTGTGTGGGGACAGTGCTCTGAACCGGCCTTCCTAAGCATTTGGAGAGCTCCGGATGGACAGCGCCCTGTGTCCTGCCCGCGGTTCCGATGTTAGCCACTAGGTGGCCCCGCTGCCCTGTGGCGTTTGCGGCAGGGGGCCCAGCCCTAGGGCGGAATGAGTGCCAGCCACCCTTACTTGGTTCTTGTGGGAGAAAGGGACTCGCCTCCCCCCGCCCCCCAGCCCAGGCGAAGCCCTGCTTCCCTCTCCCATCTCCTCCAGCCACTGCAAATCAGGGGGTAGCCTCCCACTGTCCTGGGGATTTGAAGTGGGAAACTGAGGCACAAAACAACACACACCCCGGATTTCTGTCTCCCACCCCTCCCTTGCTCTAACCCGCTACACCCCACTCCCCTCCTGAAGCTGGGGGTGGAACCCAGGATTCTAGCCTTCCACCCCCCCTAGGCTAGGCATTCACCCCTCTCCCCCCTCCCCAATAACTACCCTACTCACATGCTCACTGTGCCTCCGACGTAGCCCAGGGGTGGGCCCAATGGTGCGGATGACGCCTGGGCGGGCCCCGGCAGGGTAGGGGCCATAGGGGCGGGGGTATGGGGCAGCTGTGAAGGAGGAGGAGGGCGAGGAGCATGTGTTGAGCGTCGTGGGCCGAACCATCCACTGCAGGTCCTGGCTGGAGGTGATGGTGTTGAGGCTGGGAACGAAGCTGGCAGCCCCTGCGCTTGGACCAGGGGGGAACTTCTGTGGAGACAAGAGGAGGTGGCAGTTAGAGGAGGCCAGAGGCTGGAGGAGGGTGGGGAGCTAGGTGCATTGTAATCAAAGAGGGTTTCCCATTGCTGTGGGCTGTACAGGGGACAGGACTGACACACGGACCTGGGGAGCAGTTCTGGCTGCAGCTAGCGGAGGGCAGCACTGCCAGCATCACAAGGGCACCTGGTGCTTCCGAATAAAGATCCCCATTGCCATGGGCACCCAGGCATGGGGGAAACATTCCAGTCTGCAGAGGGGGCCCTGGCTTGGCTTAGGGGCCAGGGGCCAGCAGTGAATTGCTCCAGGAGCAAATCCTGAGTCACTGGCTGCATTCAGTCTCCTTGTGACCTCAGAGATCCTTGGAGGCAGCATGTCTAGGACGCAGGGAGGGAGGGGCTGGGAATCAGGACCCCTGGGTTCTCCTCCAAGCTCTGGCAGGGGAATGGGGTGTAGTGGGTTGGAGCAGGGAGGCTGGAGTCAAGTCACTTGAATTCTCCTTCTGACCCTAGGAAGGGAGTGACATCTAGTGGATATGGGGTGGGTTGTGGGGGGGCTGGGAGCCAGGACTCCTGGATTAAATTCCCCACTCTAACCACTGACAACATGGGAGCTCAGGTGAGTCATTGCATCTCTCCTTGGGGAAGGCTCCATAGTGGTACAATGGGATAACACAGAGGCAGGAAGCGTAACAGGCTGATGTTCATAAAGTCGGGGAAAGGAAAGAATTCCTTGCACCATGGGACTGGTGGGTGAAACTCTGCCCTGGGGGATGCAGGAGGTCAGACAGATGATCAGAGCGGTTTCCTGGCCTTAAAGTGACTGGCTTTGTGAAGTGAGGGAAGGGGCTGCTATTTGAAAAAACAAACAAGGAAATTCCAGGTTTACATTTGGGGGAAAAAAAACAATGTTGTTAATGGAAATTGCTAGTGTCCAGCTGAGCCTGGAGAGGACTTCAGAGGTCTGACAGCAAGTCAAATACACTACACTGGGGCTCAGGACTCCTGGCTCCTGCCACTGACCTGGGGAAGGGCCTTTCGCCTCTTAATGCCTCCATTGTCCCTTCACAGATTATATGGCCAGAAAGGACCATTGTGATCATCTAGTCTGAGCTCCTGCATAGCCCAGCCCCTAGGACCGCCCTGAACTAACTCCTGGTTGAACTAGAGCAGACCCATTAGAAAACCATCCCGTCTCGATTTCACAGCTGCCAGTGCTGGCAGTTTGTCTGTTTAGACTGAGAGATCTTTGGGGGCAGGGACTGTCTTTTACTGTGTGTCCACGAAGCACCTGGGACAATGGGATCCCCCTCCCCTCTCAGCCCACAGTCTCTAGGTGCTGCCCTAATACACATGATAACCAGGAAAGAGGTACAGCTACTCATGGTACAAATACACTTTAAATCATTGTAAAGTGCCTCTTTGTCATTCAACACATGTCCCCAGGCCCCTGATGAGGCTTCAGAAGGTTCCATATTTAACATCCCTCCACCATCCCCCCCCCCATTATTGTCTCTGACAGTTCATTTCACCCTTCACCCTCTGTGACAACATAGGGATTTTCTGTAACATTATTATGAAGCCTCTGTGTTCCTCAGTTTCCCTCTGTACTTTGCATTGCTCCCCAATGGAGGAAAAGGGTTACATCTGCTCTTGGGGGCAGTGAGGATGGGAGGTGTGGGTGCTGCCTTGCTGCCTTGCCCACAGGGAATGGGTCTTTAAAGAACTGATTGAAACCGACCCAGACCAAGAGAGGGTCCAGGGAGACAATGGAAGCGCCAACAATTGTGCAGCAGAGGGAAGCTTCCGTGGGTGGGGTTGTGAACTCAGCTTGGCTCTGCCTGGAGACAAAGAACTGGGAGGTCACCAGCAGAGGCTAAAGAGTCGGCTTCTGGACCAGGCTGGCCGCTCGCACCTGGGACTGACGGAGGGTCGGGGGGAAAAACAGTCTGAAATGGAATCGCCTACAGCTGGGCTGGTGGGTTGCTCTGGCTTGGCTGGATGGGCTATGTCTTAACCTGTAGTTCTCTGTGCTAACCTAAGGACTTCCAGTGCTGGGTTGCAGGTGACTAAAGGCCCCGCCTGTTTGACAAGGGCTGTCTGGCGTCACTGCACATGCATCCTGAGGTGCATTAGTCCCTGAAGAGTGGACAAGCCTCTGACTAGGAGTCTGTCTCAGCGCACTGGCTGGGCAGCACACCCGGTGTGGCGCAGGAGGGCTAAAGACCAGAGGCTCAGCCTTAGCGGCGGCAAGGCTGCATAGCCTGCCCTGAAGGAAAAGTGGGGCTCATTGCTGAAGGGGTTCCTCCAAGAAACTGTTTAAAGCTGGGGCCCAGCCCTGAGGCTGTGGATCTGTGAACCCTCCCACCCCAGTGTTGTGTGTTGTGGTTGGAAATGCTGTAGGTGGGCTCTAGCTCCCAACAGTCAATTAAGGAGTGGGTGGGGGAGATTCTGTGGCCTGCGTTGTGCAGGAGGTCAGACTAGACGATCATAATGGGCCCTTCTGACCTTAATGTCTATGATTCTAAACCCACCCTGCTGGCCTTGGGATTTTAAACCCAGAATCGGTGCAGAGGCTTCTATTGGGGTTAAACCTTTGGGGGTCATGGGGTAATCCAAATCCTGATATCTCCATTTTACAGATGGGGAACTGAGGCACAATCAACAGAGAGAGAGAGAGATCTGCCCTGGTTCACAGAGCAAGTCATAGGCAGGGAACCCAGGAGTCCTAACTCCAAGTCCCCTCTTCTTCCCCTCCACCCCCCAACAGTAGACTCGCCTCACCTCCCAGAACTGGGAATAGAACCCAGGAGCCCTAACTATACCTAACTATTAGGCCCTATGTCACTCTGGCAGTGCCCCCTTTAAGCCCTCAGACAAAGCCCCTTCCATCCCATACTCAGCCTGTCTGAATCAATACAAAGCTGTTCTGAAAGCCTTTACAGCTCATGCTGTCTCTGAGCATGGTGGCCAATCACTGGCTGGGGGCTCCTACCCTCCCATCCCAAAGGCACAGGCCCTCATAGGCTTTGGGAGAATCCCCACTGGCAGTATAGTGTGTAGGATACACAGCTGCATGGTCAGGATTCCGTTCAGCAGGGGACAGAGTGGTACAGGCACAGCAGCTGGTTTGCTGCAATAGGCAGAGGGGCAGAGACCTTGCTAGTGCCATGCCATGCCCACTGTTTGCCTCCTGCCCAGATTTAGGGGTGCCCATGTGGGTTACTTATTACATGAATGGGGCAGAGCAGAACAGGAAGGTTTAGTGTCACTTCCCAGTCCCATCACCTTTTTAGGATCTGGCGAATGTCGGGGCAGAGCCCAGGCATGGGGCAGAGGAATTCAGCTTCTTGGAGCCAGGATCAAGGGACTGACAGGCTCAGGGGGTGGAGAATGGGATACAGGACCCTTTCCCTTGAGTGGCCGCCAGCTCCAATCCAGCCCCCATGCTGCAAGACTGGCTGGCTCAGGGATATGGGGTCGGGATATGGGGTCTTCCCCTCTAGAAGGCGCCAGCTCAGATCCAGCCCCAGAGCCACACCATAACAGCTGCTTCTGTCCCATGCCCGTTGGGTGGCCCCCATGTAAAATGAGTTTGCTGGGTCTCAACATAGTGCATGGGCCCCGTCCCCACCTCGGCACTAGCCAGTCCTCTCAGCGACAGAGAGACCAAGGGCTCAATGGGGCACAGAGACCAAGCACCTGCCAGGGTGGGTGGAGACAAGACAGAGGGCTCCGTGCCGCCACTCTGGGCACACACTGGTGATTCCAGCTCCCAGGGCCACTGAGTCAGCATGATCCTCTGGCATGCTCCTGCATGTGAACAGCAGGGTGTGTGCAGAAATCCTGCCCCCAGATAACCCTCCCTGTGTCCCCCCCACCCCTTGACCCAGTTTCCCTGGCCTACTGGGTCCCTCCCCAGCTCTAGCGTCACGCCCCAGCTCACTGTGCTGCATACTGGTGCAGCCCAGCCCTGGGGCAGCAGACTGGCCACGCCTTCTGTGTCAGACTGAGAACACCTCCGGGAGATACTGCCCCAGGGACTGGGGACTCCCTCAAAACACAAAGGGGGCTGGGCATGGGAGCAGAGCTTCCCAGGCACTGAATCTTGGCTGCCACCCTACTCAGGGCTAGTGGTTAGAGAAGCTGGGGCTGGGAGTCAGGACTCCTGGGTTCGCTCTGGGAGGGGAGCAGAGTCTATTGGGTTAGAGCAGTGGGGGCTAGGAGCCAGGACTCCTGAGTTCTCTTTGCAGCGCTGGGAGGAGAGTGAGGCCTGGTGGGTTGGGGGAGGGGAGGGAAGCTGGGCGTCAGGATGCCTGGGGTCTCTATCCCCTGTGTGGCAGCTGTTCACAGGGGGCCGGCAGGCACTGCAGCTGGCTTTGGGGTGGGGCTGGCAGCTGTCGCAGGGGCGACCTTATGCAAGAGGAAATTGCTGAGGAATCTCGGCTCCCTGGGACACAGGCTGGGGTGAATGGAGGGGCCACCGGGGTGAGCGCAGCCCGTGACTCAGCCCCGCCGCTTCTGGTGACTCACCCGGCATGACTTGGCACCATGGAGCTCCAGCCGGGAGCGCGGTGCCTCGGGAGCCAGCGGAGGGGGGGAGCAAGAAGGGAATTCCCCCATTCGCTCTCCATCTCCAGGTCTGTCCTGGTGCCACTTTCTGCCGTAGCCTGGAGCCCCAGCCCCACCCCCCACAACACTCATCCAGCCGCTGGGGGAGGCGGGTGTCTCACAATTTGCCAGCGGGGGAGGGCGGGGAGGGGGGCTGGGAGTGTGTCCAGCCCTGGGGTCTGTCTACCCCCCCCGCCTCCCCCCCCCCCACACACTGGGCTGCCTGGGTTCCCACCGCTGGCTCCGGACAGCCCAGAGAGGGAGGCGAGTCTTAAACCCTGCCCGGGGAGAGCTGGCAAAACAGACTGGCCCGGACACCCCCCACCCCCTGTTTTCAGCCCTGTGGCTTACGTTCTGGACCCGTCCTGCGGGGCACGGAGGTGCCAGGAGGTGAAGTGGGTGCCCAAGAGAAAGGGGAGCAGAGCTGGCACGAACCCAGGAGTCCTGGCTCCCCCCCGCTCTAGCCCCCGATCCCCCCCCTCCTCTCCCTGAGCTAAAATACCGTGTGTCGGTCAGCCCCACAAACCCGCTGAGGATGGACACCCTGGTGCACCTGCTTCCGCAGCCCCCTCCTGGATGGGATAAACTGTGTGCCATAAACCCTGTAGGATGACAGCTGGCGAGGAGTCCCCTCCGCTGGTACAGGTGACTCTGTGGTGTCTCCCTGCAGCTGCCACTATGTGGCTGGGTGGGGGCAGGGACACGGACACTCCAGGCCCGCATAGCGCCAGATCACTACAAGGGTCTGTGACCCGGGCACTCAGGCAGCAGCGAACGAGGGGAGCCCCCCCCCCCATCGCTCTGCTGTAGAGCGCCGGGTGGGGGAACCCCCTACATTCCTCAGCCATTGGCACGCGAGTGCCTGCGTGCGGGAGGGGGAGGGGGTCAAAGCAGCGGCCGCCACGCGGTGGGGTGAATCAACCCAGAGTATGAGTCACATCCCCCCCCCCCAAACGAAACAGAGCGAGAAAGGAGAGGGCAAGAAAACAGACGGGGAAAGGCTGGAGCAGGGCGGAAGGGGATCAGTGACTGGCGAAATAGGGCAGAGGTGGCTGGCAGTGCCTAGAGATGTGGAGGAGCAAGAGCTGGACAGAAGGAAAGGGGTGTGTGGAGACAGAGGGTGGGTGTGTATAGACAGCTGGGGATGGGGATGGCTAGAGACTAGATTAGCCAGAAGGGTGGGGATGGGGACAGAATGACAGACAGTGGGGGACAGGGGCGCTGGGACAATTTGTACAGTGGGGGAGCTGAGAGCCATTGAACCAAAATGTAACCCTGGATATGATGGGAACCACTTCAAGCCAGGGCCCCCCAGCACCTAGGGCCGGAGAGGTGTGTATGGGAACAGAGAGACAGACAGAGGAGGAGGTGTGTATGGGGGCGGACAGACAGATAGACAGGGGGAGGTTTGCATGGGGACGGGGGGCAGACAGTGGGGGAGGTGTGCCCCGGGACCGACGGACAGACAGGTGTGCATGGGAACGGGCAAACAGGGAGGTGTGAATGAGGACGGCCGGACAGATAGACAGACACAGGGGAGTGTGTGTGGGGACCGACAGACAGACCGACCGACCGAGCTCTCGGCCCCTTGTCCCGCTCGCCCCTTACCTGCTGCGCTGCTCCCGGAGTCCCTGAGGCGGCGGCCGGTCCCATGCTGCGCAGGGCAGGGTGCTGAGGGCGAGGGTTGTACGAGGATCCCGGGCCGTCCGCACTGCCCGCTCCATAGTCCCTGAACATGTCTGGCTCTCCGCTGGGGCCGTGCTGTGCCTAGGTCAGACCAGTGAGCGCCTCTCAACTGCCTCCCGCCTGGTTACTTTTTTATGAATGGGAACTCCGGGGCTGCCTCACTTTAAGCTGGGGGAGGGGAGGGGCGAGTCCCACCCCGCGCCCTTTTCAAGCCATCAGGGAAGCAGGGAATCCCCTCTCCAACAATCCACCCCCGTTCCGCTGGGCCCTATTCAATTAAGATGCACCCTTCTGCCCGGAATCAAAGTTTGGTCAGCCCCTAAAAGGCCAGCAAAGTCAATAGTTCCCCCCCTGTTCTAAATCTATTTGGTACGGTCCGGGGATTGACTCAGCTCGGTGACGTAGATATCCATATATAGTATGATTTCCTCCGGCTTGCTGTGCAATAGTAAAGGATTCCCCTCTGTGTTTGTTTCCAAGCTCTGTTTGTTCAAGATGCGTTTCAGAGAATCCGGCTCAAGATAAAAATACGCCCCCCCCGTACTACAATAACAACGCCACACAAACACCCACACCTGTACACCACCACACACATCCTGAACCTCACACACGCCTATACAACCCCCCCCCACCGTATTACAGCACACGCCCTGTACACCACCATCGTACACATCTCTGTACAACACAGCTGTGCAACAACACACCCATCGCTGCACAACCACACACACACACTGCACAACTACATGCATCGCTGTGCACACAAAAATACACACAGCCTGCACAACGACGTACACCTCTAAACAAAGACAGACAGACACACTCACATCAGGCCAGATATCAGAGGGGTAGCCGTGTTAGTCTGGATGTGTAAAAAGCAACAGAGAGTCCTGTGGCACCTTTAAGACTAACAGATGTATTGGAGCATAAGCTTTCGTGGGTGAATACCCACTTAGTCAGACGCAGATCACTGAAGTGGGCATTCAACCACGAAAGCTTATGCTCCAATACATCTGTTAGTCTTAAAGGTGCCACAGGACCATCAGGCCAGGTAGTTTGTTTTCACACGTCAAAGATGCAAAGATACCCTCCTCCTCCCCCCCCTCTCCCCTCCCCCACGTGCTCATGCAGTAAATGAATTCGGGGCTGGGTAGGACCCCACGGGCAATGGGGGGCCCGGGCGGGACACTCCAGGAGCCAGGGGGCCTAGGAAAGGAATACACAGAGAGAGAGAGGTAAGCAACAGGGGCCTCCGGTTGGTCCAGAGATAGGAAAGTGTCTGGATGGGGTGGCTAGACAGACCAAGGAGTGTGTTGGGGGGAAGGGAGAGAGAGGGTGTGTGTGAATGGATAGATGGGGATGTGCATGGGGATGGGTGGATAGAGGCGAAAGTGGCACAGGGGATGGGGGCAGAGGGTCCCTGTGACCATGCGGAAGGGGGGAGTCAGGGGATAGGGGTCCCTGTGACCCTACAGGGGAAGGTGGGAGGCAGGGGCAGTTTATAGGTGGGACCCTGCCCCTCCGCACATGCCAGCACTGCCAGTTTCTGGGGCTGAGCAGCTGGGCCAGACCCAATGATATTATGGTATGCCCTGTGAATCCCCCTAATACCCTCCCATCAGAACAAGAACCCCGCAACCCAACACAGGCAGGGACCCCTGCAATCTGGCTGCCCCTCCCCTCTGCAGTATCATAGAGAGCCCCTGCTCCCTTGAACAGAGACGCTGAGCCTGGCTCCCCCACTGATGAGAGCCTCAGGTCACCCCTCCGGCTAAGAAACAAGCCGCTGGAAGATACCCTAGCATGGAGAATGGAAGTGTCCAGCTAAGGTGGTGGTCTGGGAGTCAGGACTTCTGTATTCCGTCCCCAACTTTGGTGGTGGTGGTGGGGGGCTATTGGATTAGAGTGGGGGCTGGGGCCAAGATACCTGGAAGGGAATGAGGTCTAGTGGGTTAAAGCAGAGGGGGCTGGGAATCAGGACTCCTGGGTTCCATACACAGCTCTGGGAGGAGAGTGGGGGAATTGGTTTCTCTCTCTCTGCGTGGGCTGCGGGGGTGTAAATTCCTGACACGGAATTTTCCTGCGGGTTCCTGGAGAGCAATCCAGCAGCCTCTGGTCACTTTCAGATTCAGGAACTGAAAGCGACTACCAGTGAAACTGACAGGGCTGGGCTCCCTGCAGAGAGTGAAAGCATGTCCCGCATGTCCCGCAGGCTCCCCACAGCCACAAGGAGCCTGACAGTGTCATTGGGGGAGCGGGGAATGAAACCCAGGGGTCCTGGCTCCCAGATTCCCCCCCCCGTTTTAACCACTAGAACCCCCCTCCAAGTACCAGGGAGAGAACCCAGGGGTCCTGGCTCCTCCCCCCAAGCCTCAAAACAAACAGCTCTTCTGGGAGGTAGCCACAGGGTGGGGGTCCAGTGTCTGTTCCTGTTCCCTCCCACCACCCAGGCGCCATGAACCCCCCCCCCCCCCGCCGGTTAACGACCCCCCTCCCCAAGGAACGGGACAGGATGTGAGACACAGGAATGTGGATGATCTCATGCTCCCGGTGACTAACCTGGCAGGAATGGGGGGCAGA